GTTGAATACATGACACAATATTGAAATTAAAAATTAAATACAGTTGCATTCATAATACATTTATGTCCTGTTTTCATAAGCAAGCTGAATACAGTTGAATACATGACACAATATTGAAATTAAAAATTAAATACAGTTGCATACATCATACAACTGTATCACAGTTTTCCTGTTTTACTGGAATACATTAGAATATATAATACAGTTTACAGCTCACATTGAGTGTGTTCCAGTTTTTAGATGAAATACAGCAACATTCAACCTACCGCTACAGAGCTTGCTGTTATTCAGGTTCCTCCGGATGGCGTTGATGTAGAGAAAAGTCCTATTCCTTCAGACAACAATGATGATGATTCTGATGACTTTAGTCCAACACCGCCTCTTCAACCTAAGAAAAAATTTGATGCAAGCGTTGGTCCATCTTCATCACCGCCCCACAAAAAGCACAAACATCAGTTAAGTGATCCCTCAACTACAGATAGTCCAATCCCACATGTGCTTGCAATACCTCAAACCAAGTTTCCTCCTACTGATAAGATTGAATTCAAGAAAACTGTATTGAGTTCTAAGAAGCCGGCATATTCTAAATCTGATAATTTGTATGATTTGAGGCAGGATCTAAATTCATTCAAGGATTATGTAAGTATTGTTAAAACATATTCAACTTTACCGTTCGTGTATTAACTTTCATATATGTTTCTAACCCATCTATAATTATTTTTGTATTCATTAGGTGATGGGTGAGTTCACTTCTCTACGAACATTGATCAACGAAAATTTCAAAAAGCTCTTTGAAAATGCAAAAGCCAATCAGAATACAGAAAGGATTTACCAAAGAAAAAAATATACTGGGAGACATGATGGTGGTATTCAAATGTCAACCGAGGCCAACTTGCATAATAATCCCAAATGCTAAACACAACATGATATACCTGTTGGGGAGAATTCAGAGGTTAACATTTTTTAACCTCTCTAGTATATATGCAAGTCTGTATATGTTTTGTGTAAATATAATCTGAATACACTAATATACATGTGAATACAGTATTATATGTATAACAATACATGTTACATAATACACTTATATACATGTGCATATAGTATCACATGTTTTATGATTTACTAAATACATATTGCAAAACAACATTCATAATTTTTCAGTTTAATCATGTATACAACAACATAAATGAGTCACAATACAAAATACATCAAAATACATTATTCAGAATACATTATTCATAATACATTATCATTCATTTTATTCAAGTGTACATCAAAATACATTAATCAGAATACATTCCAATACATGGAAATACATTAACAGAATCATCATCTATACGCCTACTATGAAATTTTTTTTTTTTTTTTTTTTTTTTTTTTTTTACTAATATGACAAATACATTCTTGTAAAACATGTGCTATATTAATACATTATATTGGGTATTATAAGGTTATGGAAAAGAAGCTGAAAACCGATATTCTTGCCGATGAATTCCCACAATCTAATGAGGTAAATCCTGTATGTGGTGACATATTAGTTGCATCTACTGATGTTAATCCTGTATGTGGTGAAGTAAGAAAGGAAGGGCCTACTCCACCGGAGGTGCCGTTTGTCATACCACCTGAAACTGACGAGGATGTATCCAGAGAAATACATGTATCACAATTTGAGTTGGCGGATGAGTACCTTCCAAGTCAAATTTCAGACGCTCGAATTGTGATACATCAAGCAGCAAAAGTTGTTGATTCAACTCTTTTACCCTCTCATAGGACTCGACGTCCAAGTCGATGGTATTCTTCGCCTTACGAGTCAAACTTCGACTCGGCCGGTTAGTAAATACATATAAAAAAAACTACGTTTTATAAAGTTTTGATATATTTTCTCATGATAACTATAATTAGATGTAGCTACTAATGATGACGATGAACTATAGGTACCTCAGTAAAGTTGATTGCCACATATGACAAGAAACACCCTTTTGAAAATGATTTAATATCGGGGCCACATCATACGTTAGTCATTCAAGAATTTGAAAAATGGGTTCGTGATGGTCTTTTGGCTAAACATGATTAAAAGTGAGTTAATTTCATCGATCTACAATGTATGTATTTTATCAATTATTATGTGAATGTAATATTTTTCTCCAAATCATTGTAGAAAGGATAAAGAAGACCATTACAAGAAACACAAGTCAACACTGCCTATACGGTTGGATTTTGGAGTTCATGAAGTCACTTCAAAAAATTGGTTTTATCTTCTCTCATTTGACGGTCAACTATGGAATGACGATGTAAGATATAACACTTGTACATTCAGTTTATTTCATATTTTGATACATAGTTTGTCAATACATTGTGTTTCACTGTTTTGTTATTCTAATATAAGGTCTGTATTCATGTTATTCATGTATCTGAACACAATGTATTCATATGTATTCGATATTAACAGAAATACATTGACATACTGTATTCAATGTATGTTAGTGTATTCTATGCTTTCATTGAATTCACTGTATTTTGATGTATGCACTATAATCAATGATAACATTTTATCTCAAACTTCATTGTTTTTCAATGTTATTTCTAGCAATTTGTTATATGTAGTATGCATTCATCAATATGTATATAAGTGTATACACTAATTACTGCAGCACTTTTTAACGGTATGTATTAACTTGTATGCACAGTTAAACAAGTACATGTATTCAACATTTACTGACGATATTTATTCAATTTTATATACAACATATTGATGTTATATTCTACTACCTGAGAAAGAAGGGCAATTATAACCATACTACCAACTTCAAATATACAACTGTTGATTGTATATTCAAGACAAGAGTTGCTGAAATATTCGACAAGTATAATGATACAGATAGTAATGCAAGTGTAGCCACGAAATAAGATGTTGTATGTGAATACATAAGGGGGCTACATATTGCTAGCTAATATACCATGGCATACGGTTGACAATGTCTTGATACCAGTTAACTTGAAGGACAAACTTCATTGGATATTGGCAGTTGTCTCATTTAAGGAGAGATGTATCAACGTATATGACTCCTACCGATCAGCATGCCATGATGCTTATGTGCGTACTGAGATAGATAAGCTTCCTAAGCTTGTACCTATGTACCTATCGATCAGTGGTTTCTACAGAGATAAGCAAGGAATAGATTGGTCTCGTGAACCAGTATACAATGACAAGACACAAACTGATTCCTTTGCAGTTGTTTTTATTTCGAATGTGCCTCAACAAACGGCTGAGAGCATGTATGAATTCATTCCTTTTTGTATTCTTGTATCATTTATAATACTAATAATATGAGTTTTATTTAATTGTGTCAATCTACATTTTCATGGATTGTGGGTTGCATGTCGCGGCATATGCAGAGTATTTGAGCACTTATGGATTGGTTCCACAAACAACATTTGATGCCAATTTACTCCGTCAAAGATATGATGCCCTTCTTTGGGACTATGCTATGCGGAAGATAGATGCCGATGCCATAAGCGACAATGAAGCACGTAAAGATTGTTAGACGAATGACAGATTCAGATACTTCTATGAAGATAGTTTTCGGTGAATATAGTTTTTGAAGATAGTTTTCTGTGAAGATAATTTTTTGAATATTATTTTGGTAAAGATGGTATTCTGTTAAGAACAACTCATGTATTCACTTTATGCACTGTATTCAAAATATTTATTCAGCAGTTTATAATTTCAAAACTTCACTTGGTTTCACTGTTTTGTGCAGCAGTATATATTTAATAGTTTGTATTCATATGTATTCAGCAGATGTATATATGTATTCAACATGATATATGCAGTATGTATTCATATGTATTCAAAGTATATAAGCAGTATGTATTCAGCAGTTTACTAAAAATAATCCTTTAGTAAACTATGGAATATAGTCATCAGATGTATATAATATTCAAAGTAGTTATTCATGCAATGGAAGTCACATTGATCTTCGACTGATTTTCAAACAAATACCATCTTTCTTTTTTCTTTCACCAGATTAGAATATGTACACATCATTTTTTATTTTTAAAAGAATATGAAGAAACGAACTGACAAGTTTTTAGTGTTACAAAGAAGCAAAAATCAGAACTAGGAAAGATTGATGCCACTGATGATAGATGAACAAATTCATACCATAGATGATATAAGAGAGTTTTCTTGCATCAACAAGAGTCATTGATAGTTCTCCAGCAAAGTCCTTGTTTCCTTCTTGCATTTCTCCAGCCTTCACTTCATTTTGAGCAAACTTAAAAAATATGGAATATAATATACAGTATGTATTCATATGTATTATACTATATATTAAGCATTATGTATTCATATGTATTCAGCAGATTGTAGTGTATATATAACTGCAGTTTGTATTCATATGTATTCAGCATATTGTTTATATGTATTCAGATATATTTGTAGTATGTATTCATATGTATTCCACTGTATATTAAGCACTATGTATTCATATGTATTCAACAGATTGTATTGTATATGTACATCAGTTTGTATTCGACTGTATTCAAATATATCTACATAATGTATTCATATATATTCCATTATATATTAAGCATTATGTATTCATATGTATTTAGCAGATTGTAATGTACATATAATGCAGTTTGTATTAATATGTATTCAGCAGATTGTATATATGTATTCAGATATAACTGCACCTGTATGTATTCATATTTATTCAAAAAATAAATGCAGTATGTATTTAGCAGTTTACTAAATAATATTTTTACTAACTGTACTAAAAATATTCATCACGCAATAATCCAATACACCAATAAATCAATATGTATTATTCAAATTGTCACAGGAATCTATGACACATCGTTATTGCAGTAATACAAATCAGAATATGAACTAATTCCTACGTGGAGCATTTCTACAAGTACGCTTATTATGTTCTCCCTGCCCACATATACTACACGAATGTTGATTTTTCTTCTGCAACAATTCACTGAACGGCTTATCGTGCTTCTTCTTTGGCCTTCCAGGAGATCTTTTCCATTTGGGTGGTAAGACAACTTTCTCTGATATATGTGCTGGTATATTCATTTCGGTCAGGCAGCGGATACACGGGCACCTCGTATGTCATTACAACAGACTTTGGTTTGTAATAGTCAGAGCAATAATCTTCTGGCATTAGAAACTTGCTCTTCAAGACAGCCCAAGCGTGTGGGCATGGTAATTCGTCAACTTGGAACCGCCCACAACTGTACTTTTTCTCTAGGAGGCAAACGGTATAATGCCTTCCTTCATCGTTCACCATAAGTAAGTATTCAGTCGATGGTACAACCTACATTTAAATATAGAACTATAAGTTTTAAACATTTTTAAAAAGTCATATATATCTCAAAGAATAGACATATTAAATACAATATAGATGTATACAAAAAAATTTTTAAATATCCAGTAGTAAACTTTTATTTAACTTTCAGAAATCTAAATATAATATATATTTGTATGAAATACAAACATATATGTATGTATAAAATACAATGACATACAGTGATATACAATAAAATATATTGAATACAGTGGAATACAGTCTATATTTAGGTTGGTAGACTATTAAAGATGATTACATTTAACTGATGAATACAGTGATATACATTAACATATAGTCTATTTGCTTAGGAAATGCATCTAATTAAAAACAAAACCACTGAATTCAACCAATGAAATGCAAATGTATAAACAAGTAATGTATACATATAATGATCAATTTTTAAAACATTTCATAAAACAGAAAATATGCACAACTGCTATAATACAATGAACATGCCGTATGTGAATAGTAGAAATTGTATCAGAAATAAATACATGTTATACCAGAGCTAAATACATGATACACAGACTTAAAGCAAAAAAAAAAAACCTTACAGTCATAGGTGTAGACATTTCCTCATTCAAAGTAAGCATCTCCTGGTATTTTTTTTTCAAGCGTTGTGTACATGTGTGAAGCTTCTTTCCGATTGCTGCAATTCCTATGTCCAAACATCTTCCTAACTTCTTCGAGGAAGTCGTATGTTGGCAATTCTCTTGCTGATACAAGTGCAGCATTGATTGATTCAACAATATTTGACGTCATGGTCCATCCCCGGTTAACAGGTGCATACAACTTAGCCCACTTTTCGTATCCAGCTAATTCTAAGTATTCTTTCACCCGAATATCTACCTTCTTCACCTTCTCCATTAGACTATCAAATTCATCCTATGTGTATTCTTTTGCCATCGAGAAGTATATCTCGCTCAACTTTGAATGACTCTTTTTGAATTTCTTATATACGTTGTTCCATAGATGCCATATACAAGTAAAATATGATACCGTTGGATACACTCTCAATACAGATTTGATGATGCTCTTATTCCTATCTGAAATGATGCACATGTTTTCCCTCTCACCATATGCTTTCTTGAATTGCTCAAAGAACCACGACCAAGCAGCATCGTTCTCTGAATCAACAACACCATATGCTNTGCTAATTTTAGGTGGCTGCCATCCACAATCACAATGGCTCTACAATGATCGAACCCCTTTATAAAAGCATACAAAGATATATATACATACATGAACTCATTTTTTGGTGATTTTACCATTCTAATGTGCGAACCGGGATATGTCATATCCATTGTATATAAGTACCCTGGTAATTTATTGTATGAATCAGCCGGTTCACCTCTAAAAAAATTTATTGCTTTTTCTTTAGCCCGCCACGCCAGCATGTAACTAACATCTACACCAAAATCTGATTTCACATCATCAATTATATCCTTTGGGGTGTATTTTCTCTTATGATTAGTAAGCTTAGACCTAATCATACCACCGATAAGGCTACTACTTGCTTGACGTTGCTCATACACCTTATCCTTCAACGGACATGTATGCTTATCATTGAACTCTCTCACTTTGAACATTTGTGATTTGTTAATGCTAGAAGCCTTAAATCTCCATTCATAATCCTCTAACATACATAATAATGTATAGCTGCAAATACATTTACGTAATACATACGATCAGTATACATGATTACATAATATATTCATATACATGTGAATACAATGTTACATATATAAATATTATTGCAAAATACACATATATACATATGAATATAGTGTTAAATATGTATATATCCTATAATTGTTTCAGAAAACTCAATTACATAAACACTAATAAAAGAGATATAGAACGAAGGAAATAATATATTATGAAATAAATATATTATACATGATGTATTTTTAAAAATTCTGCCATGAATACATTATACAAAAATTCAGAATACATAACCATACAATTGAATATAACATGTTGTTCAACAAGTTGTAACTAAGAACACTCAAATCTGATAGCACTAGACCTATCAACCCGGAATTAAAATCTTTTAGCTATTGCATAATGCTCCATCACCTCTTTCAATGTAGCCTTATCCTTATATACTTGTCCAGCCATAACCTCTCTTTGATTAGTTTTTGAAATAATCAAATCCCTTTCCAGCTCGAACACCTCAATTGGTTCGCCTGAATTAACAGACTCAAGAGCAAGTGTATTATTTATATCAAATTTACACCTTTGATTTGCTTCGTCTATTTGCACTAGGTCGCCTTGAATTAAACTACCTCCAGCTACAACTTCTTTGTCCATTGTTGTTATACACAAAGGATACATCCCGAATTCTCTGTTCTCTTTTTTCAGCTCTACATACACCATGTAACCCATGTCGTTATGTATTTCCATTGGCGTGCAATTTTCTTCCACTTTGTATTCAATTTTAATTGACTTTGAGCTCAAATCTATGGCGAGTTGCTTCGAAATTAAAGCAACCAAATCATTGTACGACGCATACTCCTTTATCAGTATCCCCTCAATCGAATAATCGACGTAGTTATTCTTACTGTTCCACTTGCCAGAATGACGCAGTAGCACCGTTAAACTTGCCATATGTAAAATCGAATTATACCGATTTCTGTATATAATTGTACGAATTTCGAATTTTATTTAGTAAACAGAACTTCCACGAACAATAGCAACAAAGAAAGGAAGGATTGAATCTCTAGAGATTGCTCTGTTTTGGGGTATTTTTCGGCTGGGATTATTTTCTATAACTGGAAATACAAATTTTGCGTGTTATAATTGAGTTAGTTGAGTTATATTAGGAGTCTATCGCGTTAATTGATTCACTTACCATTTTTAAACAGCTGAAAGGACCTTTTTTTTACGCAAATTTACGTTCCTGTATTCACGAATACAGCTCGCGAATACAGTCGAATACAATCTCTGCTTAGCTGGACTCCCCTGTTTTTCGCCGAGTTTTTCTACCGTATTCATGAATACAGTAGCTTAAATACATCGAATACACTCTATAACAACTGAAAATATAGCTATAGGAAGTAATTTAGTAAATAGTAGCTATAGCAAGCTAATAACCACTAAACAATAGTGGTTTGTGAAATATTCTCATAAAAATAAGGAACCAGGTTTTCAGCAACTCC